AAATGAAGAGCCGTTGATCACTACCATTCACTACTACAAAACATCAAATAGATGCCGGCACTATAGATGCCGGAAGTGCTAAAACCGGCACCTATAGTGCCTTTCCCGCCCATGCGCCCGTCAGCCCACCAAAATACCAAGAGATAGATACCTGTTTTAATTTAAATCCGGTATATTTTAGTTAGCGCCGGGCTCACCCAAGAACCAGCATCCTTGTGGTAAAAAGGAATAGGTGCCTTTTTTTTAAAAAAAAAAATGACACCCCGTAAAACCGAGCCAAGCCGCATGGGGAGCCGCGTATGTTCTTATTCCCCCACCGCGCTCTCTCTCTCTATCCTTATCTCTTTCTTTCTTCTCTTATTCTTCTCCTCTTCTCTTCTCCTTGGCTCTCTCGTGCCCTCCCATCGGCTCTCTCGCGCGTCGGTGGCAGCCCGGCGGTGGAGGCGGAGGCGGCGGCGCCCTCCGCCAGATTCGACTAGGAGCGATGGCCCGGTAGGAGGGGAGGAGGGGACGGCGGCGGTGGGCGGTGGTGGTAGAGAAGGCGGCAACGACTCCCTCCACCAGATCCGGCCATGAGCGGCGGCCCGACAGGAGGGGAGGCGGGGGCGGCGCCGGCGGGCGGTGGCAGGTGGAAAGGTGGCGGCGGCACCCTCTGCCAGATCCGGCCGGGAGTGGCGGCCCAGCAGGAGGATAGGCAGGGGCGGCGGCGGTGGCGGGCAGTGGTGGGAGGGAAGGCGGTGGCCTGACATCAGAGGCGGCGGCGGCGCCTCTCCACCAGATCTAGCCGGGAGGGGAATCGGCGACGGCCTGGCGGTAGTGAATGGGAGCGGAAGCGACAACGGCGGCCTGGTAGCGTCATCTTGTGTTCATGTTGTGTTCTTGATGTTCATGTTTTGTTCATGTGTTCTTGAAGTGAAATTGCTCGATGCATCGGGTCAAATCGAGCTGATGCATCGAGCCGGTTTTTTTTTCGTTCCTGAGGCGTCCCACCTCTGTGGTGCCGGTTGGGAAAACCGACACCTAAGGGAGGTTCCCAACCGGCACCGATTAGGGTTTCTGTAGTAGTGATTCTTAATCACACTATTTGGGTCATTTTTATGACCATAAATATATTGTGTATGTTAACCGTGTAGACTAACATGCATTGAGAACTTTATTGTCTTACCTTTAGTTCATTTATTGTTTATAAGTGTTTTGGGATGTTAGGGTTGGCATCGTATATTCTAGGTGGTACGACAAAACGAAAGAAGGCGCCGCGGGAGCGCGCGACACGGATGGATGAGCGTGCTGGATCAGGAACAGTGTTCCGAGTTGCTTGCATTTAGATAAAGTTTGTTAGCAATTGTTATCCTTTTTAATTTTTTTAGATAATAGAATAACATTCCGTCCTTTGCTCAAAGAGCTACAGCCAATTATTACAATCTAACACTCTAGAAGAGTGTAGTTCAATAAAACATCAAAGACATCAAAAACAACCACCAAAGTTTAAAGAGAGACCAAACTAAGATAAGGAGAACACATTTATTGCAAAGAGTTGCATAACTATCGTCTGAAGCTTCTGACATATAACTTTTATGAACTCACCATCTTCGTTAGACCTTTGTAGTTGAGCCCAGAGCCGGAGCCAATATGTTGCCCTGAAATTTACCTGGATATATGTAATAGATGGTGATTTGTCAAAAACCACATTATTCATGCACAAGCACAGAGCCCAACATATAGCAGAAGCTCCTTCAAGAATAAGCTTGCACTCTTTCTTGTCCACTCCCAAAAGCCAACCATCAAAAATATGTCATATGCTACTAAGGAGATATAAACCAAAAGAGAACTGAAGAGAAGCTCTCCATATGAATTTTGCATTGTGACAATCTATAAAAAGATGTTGAATAGTCTCATCTTTCATACAAAAGCAACATCTTAAATTACCATTCCAATTCCGTCTTGTCAGATTATCTTTGGTTAACACAACTCCTTTGAGTAAGTACCATGTAAAGATTTTAATCTTAACAGGCATCCTAAGCTTCCAAATTATCTTGTTCCTTTCAATATAACCATTATTGATTAACGCAAGATACATTGACCTAACCGAAAATCTACCATTCTGATTAAAGTTCCATCGAAAACTATCAGAAGAGTGATTTAACTGGATATGGACGATAGAAGCACACAACTCATGCCATAAAACAAGATTCTAACCAACTAAAGCTCTTCTAGAAGAAACATTAAGTGGAACAGATCTAATTACAGTAGCAATTGAAGAACTTTTCCTTCGGACAATAGCATACAAAGACGGATATTTATCCTTAAAGGCTAAATTTCCTAACCATTTGTCTTCCCAAAATCTTGTTTGTTCCTCATTATTCACAATGCAAGAACCCATATTTAAGAAATTACTCTTAACTTTCATGAGACCAGACCAAAAATGGGAATCACCTTGTTTCCTATCCACTTGAGTAATAGACTTAGTATGAAGATATTTTCTCTTCAATAAGTCCTGCCAAACCCCTTGTTCATTAATTAACTTAAACAACCATTTACTCAAGAGACATATATTCTGTACGTCCAAATTATGGACCCCCAGACCACCCTGATCTTTGGGTTGACAAATTATATTCTATCTGGTGAGTCTATACTTTTTCTTGTGATCATCCCCTTGCCAAAAGAAACGTGATCTGTAGTAATCAATCTTTTGAAGAACCCCTTTCGGTATATCAAAGAAAGAAATCATAAATATAGCTAAACTTGAAAGTACAGAATTAATCAAAACCAATCTTCATCCAACAGACAAATGTTTACCTTTCTAACTACTAAGTTTTTTTCTTAATTCTTTGTTCAATAACTTTTCAATCTTTGTTACTAAGTTTTCTAAAATACATTGGAATACCAAAGTACTAGACAGGAAAAGACCCTAACTTACAACCAAAGATATTAGAGTAATGATCAACAAAATCCTTTGCTTGACCAAAAAAAATAATTCACTTTTGTGAAAATTTATTTTCAAACCAGATAACTTTTCAAACATAGCTAAGATCAATTTCAGATTCTTTGCTTGTTATAAATCATGTTCCAAAAAAATGATAGGATCATTTGCATACTGTAAAATAGATAAACCATCATCCACTAAATGAGGAATAACCCCATTTATAAGACTAACCTCCTTAGCCCTGCTTTTTAATAGTTGATTCAGTTAAGATGTACCGCTACTTAAAGCCACGAAGTTCATGAATAAAGGAAGCAAGATTCAATCTATAATTTCTAAAAATTTGACATATGTAATTATAGTACCATCGTAGTGTAATTACATTGTAACTTGTTTGTAATTACATTGTAACTTGCATGTAACTATAGTGTAACTTGTATGTTAGTTTCACGTAATTTTGAATCGTTAGATCTATTACAAGATTTGTTCTGGTGAGGAAGAAAAAAATCATAGCACACACATATGTGAATAGATTTGTTCCCACAACCTCCATTTTACTAAAATAACATGTTACGGAGAGATTTTTTAAAGTTACATACAAGTTATATTATAATTACAGTGTAATTATATGCAAGTTACAGTGTTATATCTGTCAAATTTTTGTGAGAAAATTTATCGACAAATATATAGCAAAATTGATAATTCTCACCCCTTTCTCTTTATCTCATCCCTTGTAATCTTGTTCGCTGCCACGGGTAGGACTTCGAAGAGGCTGCCCAAGCCTCGTCCTCCTGTGTTCCACTCGTATCCGATTCGCTCTCTCGCTGGAGCTCATAACATGGGATGATCTGTAAAATCCCATAGTAAACTGTGGGGTATCCACTATAGTTTCAATAGTGAGCAACTTAAAATAGCTTGTCGATGTATCGAAGAGGTAGTATAGGAGTATTATTTTTTCCTAGGAGAGAAAACAGTGAGTTGATGAGCACACAGCTTTCGTGAAGTTGACTTACGAGTACTGGGATGAGATGTAATTAACCATGGAGTCGGAAACTCGGAGTATCGGTCCAAGTCCAACAGACCACGCGGCCCTTTGTTAAAGAATCAGTGTCGTATGTTTTTAAAATACTAGTAAGTGTGCACGTGGAATCCACGTTGCTAATAAAATAAATAAAACCCATAATATAATTGCTCAAGTGCTAAATAATTTTCAGATTTCATTTTTTGTTTCAAGATCGATTAACGATCAGTGAGGCGGTCAGACCCTAGCTTCATATAATCACACAGAACCAAAATTTGAGGGAGTCCCATCTACCTTTTGTTACAGTAATAACGTTTTCAAAGAGTACCACACCAAGGAAATTATTTAACTTGTTGACGTAGTGCCTGTCTTGCAAGACACGGATTGTTCCTGTCAAAGGAAATACAAAACATTCTCGAGCCAATCCACCAATTATATTCATCATCTCAAAAAACATAAATATCACAATCATTTACAAGAGAGAATTTTTTTTGAAAACAGCTTTTGGTGAGCTTCCATGCATTTTACAAGAAGGTGGTTGAGAGCATATGCATTACACGGTGTGAATTATTATCATTTAGGCCCCGTTTGATTTAGATTATTAAGCTAATTATTATTGTGGATTATCTACTATAAATTAAATATTTTGAGAATAAACTTAAAAAATAGCTTAAAATAAATGGACTAAACAAAAATCAATTTCTAGAGCTATCCATATTCCACAGTAGGAACTAAATTCTAGATCACTCGATTCAATCAGAAGATACAGTGACAAGGTAATGACGTAATGTTCCAAAATAGAACTCATATGCCATTTGCAAACATCTCGACCTTCTACATACAAATCTAAAGATCCACTTGTACTAATTCAAGTTCATTTGTCAAGCATATTAAACGGATAGCAAACGCCAAGCTGCAGTATGAAAATAGCCCGAATTTTAAATGATTTCGTAAGTAATTACCAGGGGCCACTCAAAGTTTAGTTCGTCACCTTGCAATATTTTACCAACCAAAAAGCAAATTTCAGGAAATATTTCACTTGATGTAGATTATGGTAAGTAGGAGCAAGAAAAACTCAAACCGTGTAATAGGATCATGCCCAACAAATCCATCTTCACTGTTTATAGAGCCAGTACACGCGGATTAAAAATTAAAGTTCAACAAAGTTCAATGGATTTACTCTAGGTCTGTAGCAAACCCCTCTTGATCATAGCCATGTGCTGGTGAGGTGCTTGTATGATGTTCTTGATGTCCCACATGGCCATCCAGTTGGTGTTTATCATTTCTAGCACAAACTTGATGTCCTCTATTGAAACAAAGTCTAAGTTGATAAAACAAAGGACATAAATCTGTGGATTTCTGATAGGTATTAAGTTGGTACCCTGCTTATAGCTTTCAGCTCTCATAAGAGTGTGAAGGTGAAGAAATCAAAATAGCTACATAGAACGGACTGAAATCACTGTATTTTACATGGGTGTAAAGTTGGTACCCTTTTGTTGCTTTCAGATCTCATAAGCTGATGTTTTACTGTAGAAAGGAACCAAACAAAATTTTGTCAGACATCAGCGTAAGAAATTAAGAAGTAGGTGGCACTAATAGAAATTAAGAGGGCTAGCTGTGCAAACTATATCTTACTATTATGCCTTGATTTGACAATCCTAATTGATTTTACTACTATATTCCAAATGGAATTTTTTCTAAGAAAACACACATATATATCTTGAGAGAAAAGATTTTACTTCTCAAGAGAAACCTGTACTAATTTACTAAACTCGAAATTACTTGTGCTCTTGGATACATTTTCATGCAAAAATTTACAGGCACAATGTATGCAAAATAGATAAAATCCCTATAATACTAACCTGGATTTGAAGAATGCTATGACACTGATAAAAGGAAAATAAAAACATTGTTGCTCCATGAATAGAAATCTCCAACATTCACAAAAATAGCATGAAAAAAAATTGAGTGCAAGAAACCGACTTGCCTGTACCTTGACCTGGACAGCATGTGCCTCACTCGCACGCATCAATGAAACCAGATGAGACAAGTCTTCAGCAACTGGGTTGGAGGGGACTGCTACCTCATGCGTGACCTGGTTGTATCATTGACGGCCAGCTAAGAGACGGGACATCCAATGGAGATCACTGCCAACAAAAACTACAGTTCATTTTGTCCTTCCATAAGCATGGAAAATATGATCCAAAATGATGGCAGAACATGCAAACTGGAATTGCGGGAGCCTCAATGGATGACCATATGTTCAAAAGCTTTGCAAACTGGAATTGCGGGAGCCTCAATGGATGACCATATGTTCAAAAGCTTTGCTTAAATCGACGAAGTTCAGTAGAAATCTTGTTTTCTACCTTCAGAATTACAGTAGTACAAATGCAAAGGTTAAGTAGAATACACTAAGAACCATTGAATTGTTAATTTGAAAGCAGCAAACAATCAACCAGAAATTTGGTCAGTATGACATCTATAAATTGTCAAATTGTAAACAGGAGATGATGCTAGTGCTAGCTAAGCATTTCATCAAACACATTGCAAGCATGAATATAGAACATCAACCTCACCTGTTGCTGGTGTTGCTGGTGTCCTTATCTGCTAGCATGAATGATGTCCAACGGCCCTAGTCCTGTGCCCTCGTTCCAGCGCATCCCTGATAACAACAACAATGAAAAATCATACAGGATGTTGATGATGACAGCAGTGGTGGCACAGGTGGCGGTCCTAGGGGTCGTCGGCTCTGCCTCCGGTCGGCACCCTCTCCTATGACCGCGCCGGCGGCCTGCTCCTCCCCGGCACCTCTGTTGGCGCTCGCCTCTTGCCCAGTCAACCTCGCCGATGCTGACGGGCCATGCGCAGCGACCTCCAGCCCTCCTCCAATGGCCCCCTCTCCTCCTAGCAAGACTCTCCGCCACCTCATATCCCCTTTCCGGCAGGCGGCACCCGGATGTCCGGCCCGCGCGCCGGCGCGCGCGAGGAGTCAGCGGGGTAGGGGGAGCAGAAGTGCAGAACCCGCCTCTCTTTCCTCTCCATCGCGGCGCGGCGCGGCGCGAGCAGGGAAGCAGGCAGCGGCGGGTAGGGTGAGGCGGCTCCGGCGGGTGCGCGCGAGGAGGAGGCGAGCAGCTCCAGCGGGAGGCGGCGGCAGCGGGCTGGCGCGCTCTAGGAGGAGTCGAGCGGCTCCGGCGGGAGAAGGCGGCGGCGCGCTGGAGCACAAAAGGGAGCGTTCCCTTTCTTTTTTTCTTTGACCGATCCCTAACCGCTGTTTAGACCCTCGCAAAAAAAAACCGCTGTTTAGAAGTGGGAGATCGCTAATTGTTTCTTTTTTTTTTCCGCTAACCGCTGTTTACCACGTGGGAATCGCTAATTGCAGAGGTTGATTTAACTTTTGATATAAACCGTTGGATGAACGGATCTAAGGGTCAGGAGAGAGAGGTGTTGGATGAACTTGGTGCTTTTTATATTGGTATAGATAATGGAAATATATAATGATTTCACCGCTAGCTGTCACATATAACTCAACAGCAATATATCCTTGTGCCACCCTAGCTAATCGAAGGAAGAAAGTCAAAGGTCATTCCTGCAGCTACAGGTAGCACAATTTTCTAATTAATCTGGCCTGTACTGGAATCTCTTCAGTGTCTAACAGTTGAGTAGGTATGTCCATATGCATGATCAGGTTCAAGTACTGCATGTTTACGGCAAACAAATGAAAAACAAGTTTCGGATGATTAATTGAGATGCTAGTGGAGAAACCATCTTTGATCGGTCTGGCAAAATCCACAATAGTCTTGGATTTAAAAAGAACCAGGACTAAAGATTGTTTTTAGTCCCGGTTATAAAAATTTTGATCTTTAGTCCCGGTTGGTAACACGAATCGGGACTAAAGATGCCAGATGCATGTCAGGGGCCCGAGGAAGATCACCACTTTAGTCCTGGTTGGTACTAATGATCTTTAGTCCGGTTGGTAGTACCAATCGGGACTAAAATTAAACACATAGTATATAATCCCTATCACTTATCCTCTCCTCCATAGTTATAACTTAGACAGATCGAATCTCACCCCCTCTCCTCAGATCTATCCTCTCTAACTCTCTTCCTCATCCCCTCTTCTCCAACTCCTCCCCCTTCTCCCCTTCCTCCTCCCCCCTCCTCCCCTTCCCATCCAGCGGCCCGGCCGGCGGCGGGGCCACGCGCGGCGGCGAGCGGCGGCGGCCGTGGCGGGCGGCGGGTCGGCAGGCGGCGGGGCGAAGGCCGGCGGGGCCGCGCGCGGCGGCGGGCGGCGGTGGCCGTGGTAGGCGGCGCGGGCGGCGGGCGGCGGGGCCGCGCCCGGCGGTCGTGGCGACCGGCGGCAGCAGCGGCATTCTTTTTTTTAATTTGTTATGATTCACTTAGATGTATTTGACTGAGAAGTTACAAATTTGTGATTCATTGTTTGGATCTGTGATGTATTTGAGTAATTTCTTAAGATATTGTGATGTATTTGATTTGTGTGTATAAGTAACTTTATGATTTGTGATGTGGATTTGGTGATGTGAATTTGGGATGTTAGTTTGATTTGGGGATTGATTTGGGAATTTGCCTACTTGATTCGGGAGAAAATAAAAAGGAAAAAAGAAAAAGAAAAAGAAAAGGGACCATCTGGTACTGCCGCTACTGTCTCTTTAGTCCTGTTATCAACCGGGACTAAAGATTCCCTCTCTTTAGTCCCGGTTATTTCAACCGGGACTAAAGATGTCCATCTTTAGTCCCAGATCTTTACTCTCGGTTAGAAAACCGGGACCAAAGGGGGTTCCCAACCGGGAGTAAAGATGGTTTCTCTACCAGTGCTCACTGCCCTCACAGGCCGTCTTCAGGTCCAATTTGTAGGATCATAAAGGGTATTTCCCACTACAAAAGTTAGCCAGTGATCTTTAGTCCCGGTTGGTACCACCAACCCAATCAGGACTAAAGATGGACATCTTTAGTCTCGGAGCCTTACTCCTGGTTGGAAAACCGGGACTAAAGGGGGGTTCCCAACCAGGAGTAAAGATGGTTTCTCCACCAGTGTACCAACCATCAGGACTAAAGATGGATATCTTTAGTCTCGGAGCCTTACTCCTGGTTGGAAAACCGGGACTAAACCGGGACTAAAGGGGGGTTCCCAACCAGGAGTAAAGATGGTTTCTCCACCAGTGTACCAACCATCAGGACTAAAGATATCAGGACTAAAGATGGATATCTTTAGTCTCGGAGCCTTACTCCTGGTTGGAAAACCGGGACTAAACCGGGACTAAAGGGGGGTTCCCAACCAGGAGTAAAGATGGTTTCTCCACCAGTGTACCAACCATCAGGACTAAAGATGGATATCTTTAGTCTCGGAGCCTTACTCCTGGTTAGAAAACCGGGACTAAAGGGGGGTTCCCAACCAGGAGTAAAGATGGTTTCTCCACCAGTGCTAAAGGGGGGGGTTCCCAACCAGGAGTAAAGATGGTTTCTCCACCAGTGCTAAAGGGGGGTTCCCAACCAGGAGTAAAGATGGTTTCTCCACCAGTGCTCAACCATCAGGACTAAAGATGGATATCTTTAGTCTCGGAGCCTTACTCCTGGTTGGAAAACCGGGACTAAAGGGGGGTTCCCAACCAGGAGTAAAGATGGTTTCTCCACCAGTGCTAAAGGGGGGGTTCCCAACCAGGAGTAAAGATGGTTTCTCCACCAGTGCTAAAGGGGGGTTCCCAACCAGGAGTAAAGATGGTTTCTCCACCAGTGCTCACTGCCCTCACAGGCCGTCTTCAGGTCCAATTTGTAGGATCATAAAGGGCATTTCCCACTCTAAAAGCTAGCCATTGCGGTGAGGGGTTCTCCCACTTATATCTTAGGTCCTTTGCCTTTCCACAACCAATATGGGACTATTCAACAATCTCCCCCTTCACACATTGGTGTCCCTCAGCCCCTTCACCTTATCCGGGCCCCACCGGCCCACGGTCCATCAGGTATACGGGCCCCGTAGGCACCCACGGTCCATCAGGCCTTCACACACTGTGTCCATCGGGCCAAAGATGTTAACCTAGCCAGGCTCTGATACCAATTATAGGATCGTAAAGTGTCTTTCCCACTCCAAAAGCTAGCCATAGAGGTGAGGGGTTTCCCCACTTATATCTTAGGTCCTTTGCCCTTCCACAACCAATGTGGGACTATTCAACACAATTAAGCATAAATCCTTATTTCTCCTCCGGTAAAAGATATATATCACTTTTATTTTTCTTATGGTTTTCAAGGTGGGACTATATATGACTAATACTCCCTCCATATTTTAATGTATGATGCCGTTGACTTTTTGACCAACGTTTGATCATTCGTTTTATTCAAATTTTTTGTGCAAATATGAAAATACTTATGTCATGCTTAAAGAATATTTGATGATGAATCAAGTCACAATAAAATAAATGATAATTACATAAATTTTTTGAATCAGATGAATGATCAAATGTTGGATAAAAAGCCAGTGGCGTCATACATTAAAATATGGAGGTAGTAATTTTTTATTGAATCCATAATACTCCCTCCAGTAAAAAAATATAGAGTTGTATTGTGGTTTTCAAGGTGGAACTATACGCCTATGAGAATATAAAAGTACAAACTTTCATTTTCACTACTGCATAATGCAAAATCCTTAACTGGTGATGCCATATATGTGTCGGTTCCATAAAACCAGCGCATATAAGGCATTTCTCTTCCGCCCAAGCTTCTAAATGGGACTCAAATTTTAAACCAAAACTTATAACACCTTATGTCTGCTGGTTTTTAATAAACCAACAATAATAGAATAAGTATCAATTTTTAAAAATAGACATAAATAAATAAACCATAGGTGCTAGTTTTTAAATTTAGCCAATAAAAAATTGGAGTAGCGATGTGGGCGAAGAAAAAATCGGGGGCCACCAGACCTGGCCACCCACTACCCCTCAGCATGTAGAGCCGCATCGTTCTAGTTACTGTAACGTTGCATTACCAGGCAGGTCTCGTCCCCAGCTGCCCCCCGCCCCCCCCCCCCCCCGCCCCCCAACCCACAACAACAACAACACCCCTCATCCTCCCCATCCTGCCCCCCGCCCCCTCACCCTCTGATCGTGTCACCGGCGATTGTGTACAGGGCAGTGGGTGGGCGGACTGTTGATTATGTGATTTTATTTTTTGAAATTTGAATAATTTTTTCGGGATTCCAATCATTGACTCGATTCATCGAGCCTAGATCGATGATTTTTTTTCTCCTGGAGGGTCATTGGTTCTGGCTCACATCCGACACTGATGATCCCCCTCGTCAATGCTATGATCAAATCTGGCATTTTTAGGGATTTTGGAGCCAGCACTTATCATGGTTTTGTGGTAGTGTTTCCAAGACAACAGCACACATATTAATCTCATCCAAACTATGTGTTATAGAACTTTGTTAAAGTTTTCAAAAGTTTGATATGATTAAGATCTTATCGAAGACGTCATTTATTTAAACCAAATGAGGGAGTATGAAACTATGAATGTAGAGATACATGGTAATTACATATATTTTTCTCTGTTCATATTATATCCAACACAATCTAAAAATATTCACCGTATTATTTTCATGAAGTAGCATATTAATTTGACTTCGCAAAGACATTAAGTTTTAAGTATACTTAAGTTAACTTTCTTATGTACTACTCCCCCATCCCAAAATATAAAAGATTTTAAATAGATCAGACACTTCATATGACTATAATTCTGGAAAATAGTCCTATATATATATATGAAGTGTTCCATTCGTTCAAAATTCTTTATATTTTAGAATGGAGGGAGTACCGACGTAACATTTCGGATTGAGGAAGCATTATTGTATACGAACGAACGATAGAATGTTCCAGAAGGTGTAGACTCCAAGAAAACTAATGAATTGTTGGTATATAGTTTCTCTCGTCCATAGTTGGCTTGGGCCTCTAGCTATGAACTAATTCCTGCATCGTCAAACCATAAAAAAATTGGGTTCCTGACATGGGATAAATTAGATCGGCACGCCACAAAAGCTAGCCAGCTAAGCCCAGTTCTCAATATTCGAAATGACAAATTTAATCCAATTCAGTTTTATTTTGTGAGATCATTTGATTGAACTTATAGTGTTGCCCTATATATAGACGTGATGAATTGCTCCTGAAGGGCACCTTTACCAAGACACTTGACACAGGAGACACACAATCGATTAACAGTATACTACTTTACTTTGTGTTACCCTAGCTTCAAAATGGTATGTTTTTAACATCCACTCTTCTACTT